TTTCAACTTGTTTTTATGATTTTTTTTTTCGGTATGTTTTGTTTGTTAAGCTGTCAACACCTCCAACACTTGGAAAATGAAATCTAGATGCAATTTTTACTTACAGCAGAGAATCAGAACTCTATGGACAATGCAAAATGAAATGAAACAAGTATCAGAAACAGTTTATAAAAATGGCACATTTATTGCTACAGAACGGTCATGTACATGACTTCATCGAGTAACTACAGATGGGAAACAGGTAATGGCCTAGGCCAAGCTGGGCTTGTTTCTGTCTTGAAGGAACTCCAGCACACAACCTGTTTGGACACTTCTACAAATCAGAAATACACCAAAAACATGAAAAAATCGAGGCACTCAGCCACACATTGAAAACAAGGTGTAACTGTTTATCTTTTTTTTTTTTTTGAAGTGTTTTCCCTTTTTTTCTTTTTTTAACAATTTTTTTTTTTTTTTTTTAGTTTTTAATGCTGCAGCTATGTGTACAGTCGCAAAAATTTTCCCCGCTGCGACCTACAACTAAAAAAAAACAAAAACAAAAAACAAACAAAAGAAGCTACCATACAGTTTCATCTCAGTAACACATGGTAAAATAACATCTTTTAAATAGTAAAATAAAGTAACAAACTTTTACTCATAATGATTCCAAAAATCTACAAAGAAGAAATATTCAGAATCTGACAATTTTTTTTTGTAATATTCATGGTATAAAAGGATTGCTCCTGCGAAAAATAAGCCAAATATATTTTTTATTTTTAAATTTAGTTTTCTTTCCTACTAGGGTGTACTACAGTCTATTTTATAGCAAAAAGAGCACTAGACAAACGAAGCTTTATAACAAAAAGCCAGGCACTGATACATGGTAAATCTCTGCTTTTTTTTTTTTTCCTTATCTTCACTTAATTGCATCACAAGTAACAAGAATGAAAAAGGCCACAGTTCATATATTTTCACCGTTACATATGTCTATAATACTTGAAATGGGTATGGCAAAACCGGCACTGCACAAAGATGAGTCCACTTCAAGTCCCACGAGAAAGAGCATGTCTCTCAAAGAAAAACAAACAGAACCCAAAGCAAAATAAAAAGAGAGGCCTAGAGGCCTTGGTGCCCCATTGTGTTGGAATTCCTCATATTCCATCTCGACTTTTTTTGTTTCCAGTCAGCCAGCAGACTAAATTTTTGTGCTTGTTTATGCTGAGATTGTTTCATTCCTGACTCAAGTTCACTTTTGGACACAGATCATATTCTGCCTGTTGGATCCAAGACGAAAATCCTCTTAACCCCAAGTCTTGGTTCAACACCCTCCCCACCCTCCCCCACAATCCCTCATCAAAATAAAGATCACAAATTAAAAAAAAAAACAAGAGATAGAAAAAAAAAAAAAGCGAAAAACAAAAAAAGGAATCGGAAGACTGAATCAGAACCAGTTGCGTTACTGGGTGGACTGACAGTTGTATAAACATTAGTGTTCCTTGCAGCTACACAGAAGACAAATGGGCAAAATGTCTAGATGAACAGATCCCTAGTCTGCATATTCATAAATTACTTGAATGTGGAGGTGGATCAACCGTTCCAAGTTGCTTTTAAAGTCCAACTCTCTTAAACAGATCCCCAGCCTAAGTTTCATCATATACATAGTATAGTATGGACCCTTAGGAAATGCCTGTATGGTACTTTAATCCTAACTGTCTTCTGCTAAATTTCATCCAAAAATCCAGCGCAGAATACCAATATCTTACCTGGGTTTGATAATCACAAAACAAGGAAAAAAAACACTAAAAAGGCCACATTCCCTTTCATCTTTTTCTTTTTTTTCTTTTTAATGGGGATACAACCCAATGTATATGGATGGCCGCGGATGTTTCTCCACCAAGCAAAAAGTAGTGAGCAGCATTGATGGCCGTTAGAAAACCTTTCCACTTATTTCCAAAGGGAATTCCACAATAGAGGTATTACATGACTGATTAATGAATGGGTCAAAGCTGGTGAACAGTAAATTGCAGCTTTTACTCTGTTTGAGTGACAACAAAATATAAAGCACCAATTTAAAAAATAATCCAAGAACTACAATTTAATTTTTTTTTGCTTTGTTTACAGATTTGAAAATCTTTTAAATCAGCTCTATGAAAGCACCTTGATGATAACATGTATCAAAAAGTGCCAATCTTAAAATGTACATCAATGCAGGGAGTGTTTCCAGTTCCCTAAAGAGTAAACACCGTATTTTCTATACACTTATCCTGAATGTGATCAGAAGATACCTGCTTCCTATATAATATTGTTCCTAGGGATACCCGCCTTGATAAGAGTATACAAAATGAGTGCAGAATGTACCACTAAAAGGATATCTTCAACATACTGAGGGTACAAGTACACACAGTTTCCATTATTCAGGAGGAGGGGAAGAGTACACAATATTGTCTTCCACGCCCTTCTCTGAGCCCCTTTGTTCGTCCATTTTCACAGGGAAGCCTCAAAATAACTTTTCATGAAGTCTGATTCCTGCTATTCTAAGGTTTTAATCCACCTCCACATTTTAGGAACTTATCAACAAATCAAAGTATTTCCGTTTTATCACTACTGAACATATTTACAGTTTTCAACACACACACAGCTAATCAAAATGTTTATGGGTTTGTAAAAGATGACCACGTGGTAACTATCTTATTTGTTCTTACATTTTCAGAAATGAACATAAAATTCAGATTCTTGTAGCTCACTATTTCATTTCAATGAGACGGTTTTTAAACCACAGTTTAAAAAAAAAAGAGAAACAAAATCTGATACAATGTATTAAAACACATAATAACAAGAGTCTACATGTAAAAATATAACTTTTACATACACAATTTCAAAATAATGATACGTTTGCCATTTGTTGCATAAAATTTACAAATGTATTTCATTACTATATAACTGGCAAAACAGGAGAACAGATGGAACATTTAGACCATTTCGATGGGTTTATGGCATTTACTCAGTGCTGATAGGTGGAAAAACTACTTGAACAAGGGAGTTTTTTTTTCCTTAATACATGCCAAGATTGTGTGGCTGTAAAAATAGAAATGAGTTAGAGACAAAAGGATGCTGACAAATACTTAACTAGGAGCACTATTTCTTTACTGCACTATACACCAAAGTCAATCATTATAAAGATTCACAATGGAAGTTGGTTCAGTTGTGCCCAGACGTCAAAGCTAGCTATCTGATGAGTTGCTGTGCCATAGCTCGATCTATGTTTCTATCAAATATGTTAAGTATAAACTTCATTCATACTGGCCAGAGAAATACTGCACTACCCCTCCTCAAGAAAGTGCAACTTAATGCTTTAGGACTTATAAGGCTTGATATAATGCTGCATGATGATTGAATATTGGCATTTTTTTTTTCCAGACAAAGGAGGAGGCAGTTAAGTCATTCTACATCTTAGTAAACCCATTTTGAAAAAAAAAATCAAGAAAGCAACAAAATCAATCAGCTCTGTCACACTACTTGCAATTTTCTCGTTGGATGGTTGTTGAACTTTGTTTTTTTTTGTTTTTGTTTTTTTCCAAAAATCTGACCATGTATTCAGAAACACCTCACTGCACACTACTTCGGCTACACATGTAGGTAACACTTTAATCATTTTGTTAAATCACAGCCACTTTGATTATGTTATGTTTCCGATGATATAAACATTGGAAGGCACAGTGGTAACATTGTAGCATTCTAACCTTGTACCTCTGAAAATCCCAGAAGAGGGTCACAAACGCAACATTACAATTCAGACAAACTCTTTGCCATGTCTTGGTAATGCTGCTTGTTAATATCTACACATGATGTGACTTTTAAGTCCTGTGTTCCCAAAAGACTGAAGAAACAATTTTCTACTTATTTATGAATGAAAAGCAACATCAGGGTCAGCATTTCATCCTGTACTACCCGCTCCGGAAGCAGAGTTGGCACTACAGGTTACGAGAACAAACCAGGGTAAGGGACAGAAATCAGACCCAAAAAAAAACAAAACCAAAACCAAAAACAAAAAACTCCGTATTTACAGTAAAATCTTTCTTTTAAAAAAGTTAATCAGTACTATTTTTTTACAGGAGAAAAAAGTCTGAAACAAATGAACAAAAGCTTACCATAGTCACTAAATTTTTAATATATATTTATATATATATTTATATATATATTTGTCATAGGTCTATAAGATCCATCTGTTCCTCCTACCCTAAGGAATGGCTAATGTCATCACTTCGCTGTCATCAGGATATTTGCTGGTTTTGTTACGAGGGCAGCCGGGCTTCCCTTATTCGATATCCGGTCATTATAAACACTAGCTGACTTGAATACCAACAAAAACGGTCACGTCGTTTTCTTCAGAAGTACACTTTTTCATTATTGCAAGTTTACAATTTTTTTTAAATTAAATATTTTTTTTTCAGACTTACAAATTAATTATATACTTTTTTTTTTCCAAAAGAAGTTTAGGCACAAATGCATTGTTCCACAGTGTGGAAAGATTGCCATTCAGTCTCTGGGCTGCATCTCAGCCTGCACACACTGCACATTCTGAATGATATGTTAAAGAGAGTCAACCCCTAAGTTGCATTTTTTTTTCTTTCTTTCTTTTTTTTGTTTGTTTTTCGGTTTTTTTGATCATTGGGAATGCTGAAACCTCTTGCGTCTGCGATTCATAACTACTCAGACTTGTCTTATATTACAAAAAAAGGGGTTAAGGAGAAGTGTTTATGTGGGTTTAAGATAATACAGCTGTTAAGGAAGTGGTCTCTCGTATTAACGAAGCAATGTGGCAACTTGGACCTGAGGGAGAAGAGAGAAAGATGAATTAGTGTGTTTGTGACAGAGAAGGGAAGCTTCCATTTTTACATTTCCCCCCCCCAAGGTAGGGAGAAACACTGTGTGCATTTGGGTCAGATGCGACTTTCCCGGCTGACGCCGGGGCGCGCGTCCCGAGGGGCGCCTGCAGAAACGGCTGAAAACACACTTGCCTTTCACATCTGTCCCATGTGGTTGGACGCGTCTCCCATGCCGGGGTGGGGGCCCGCCAGGGACAGCGGGGGCGGCTCTGAGGAGACCTTCTCTTCTTCCCTTCTCTTCAGACACGCGGCTTTCGGGTTCAGATTCCTTTCTGTGGAAGAGGACAGCACAGAGAATTCAGGTCACGCCCAGGGCTTCTGCTGCGGGCCGGTCAGGCTACGCTCCTGTGGGCCTGCTGACCCTTCCTCTCCGGCTCTACCTTCCAGAACAAGAGGACTGCGTGGGAAAATGCACCCTGCTGCAATTCATTCACTCAGGGCGAGGACCCTTCCTCTCCGGCTCTACCTTCCAGAACAAGAGGACTGCGTGGGAAAATGCACCCTGCTGCAATTCATTCGCTCAGGGCGAGTGAACGTCCGTCTGTCTGCCTGGGGAAACTAAGAAAGTCGGTAAAGCAAATACTTGTTGTTTAGTCGCTAGGTCATGTTCCACTCTTTCCCGACCCCGTGGACTGCAGCCCGCCAGGCTCCTCTGTCCACGGGATGCTCCAGACAAGAAGCCTGGCGCGGGTTGCCATGTCCTCCTCGAGGGGATCTTCCTGACCCAGGGATGGAACCCACATGTCCTGCCTCGGCAGGCGGATTCTTTGCCCCTGGGCCCCCTGGGAAGCCCCAAGCAAAGCAGCAGAGCTCGGATTACCGAGAGGGTCTACGGGAACGTCCGTCCCAGCTGTAGGAAAACCCCCGGGCTTCACTACAGGGGCGGGGGGCTGCCTGGTAGGTCCCCGCGACCGAAACGCGGAAATAGATGGCCCCGAGGCGCCTCGGGGCGCCTCGGGCTCGACGCTCGCTCTCCAGCCTGGCCTCCGCAAGGAGGCCGGCCGCCCGCGCTGACCTCGCACTTGCTGCTCCAGGCTGAGGATGACGGCCACGGCCTGGTGGAGGATCAGGAGCTTGGTCTGCGGCTTGTCGCTCTTGAGGTGCAGTTGCACCATGCGGCCCAGCTCCTTGAACGCCTCGTTGATGTCGCGCACGCGCAGGCGCTCGCGGGCGTTGTTGGCCATCCGCCGCTCCTTCTCGCGCTCCGCCTTCTGCTCCGGCGTCAGGTCCTCGTCGTCGTTGTTGCTGCGGACACAAGCGGAAGACGCGGCATTTTCTAATGGGGGCGCGGGAAGGGGCGGTTTCTAAATCCCCTCCGCTTCCTTCCCCAGCTTTCGGGGAGCTTCTCCAGCTCAAGCTCTTGTCCCTGGCCGGAGTTTTCCATCCACCAGGGCCTGGCATTGCTTGAGGTGGTTATGACTGTCCCCACGTGAGACATTCAGAGTCTCCCAGACATAAAACCCAAACTCAACAGCAGAGGTTCAAACTGGGGCTCCAAGTGCACCTTATGGATAGAAGGGAGCACAAGAGGGACAACAAGGCTCTCCTACATAAAGCCACGTGCTGCAAAGCAGTGCTTGGTCACCGCAGGCTCAAGCTAAGCTTCAGGACTGCAATCCAGAAAGTGCTGTAGACTGAAGCTGGTTTTTTTTTTTTTTTTTAACTTTCATACTGTGACATGTGAAAGCTGAGATAAACAAGGGACTGAAAAATGATGTGCATACTTCAAAATTAACACGATGCAGCTCAAACAGGATTAAGAGAGTCCCACATTCAGGACAATGGGAGTGGACATGAGGGCCTGCTGTCTGCTGACCAGCCTGGAAGACTTGGTCAGGCCACTGACTGTATCAGAGTCCCACTTTCTCCACGTGTTAAATATAGCCAGGTTAGAAAAATATCATCTCCATAACCTTTAACACTATGTATGTTTACGGTCACCAGACAGGTTGGGGAAACCTGAGTTTCAGGCAAAGCCAACCCAACCCAACTCAAACTTACGGGTTATCAATGACCACGACCTCATTGTGAGACAAAAATGAAGCCAAAAAGCAGATCTCTGATTGTGAGAACAGAAATGATTCACACCAAAGGCATGGTTGGAGCCAGGAGTCTGGAAAGACAAGGTGACTTCTATTTCTGGGGTGAGATCCTGATAAATTAGAAACTTTTGAATGGGGGGCAGATAGGATGATGAGCGACCTGGAAAGCCTGTCATATCAGGAGGATTTCATAGCATCAAGGTTTCTGTTTCTGGGCAATCATGTGAAAAAGAGAGGCATGGGAGATGCCTTAGACAGAACAGAGCAAAGAACTCCAAGTGGGATAGTCTGAATTAACATGAACAAGAACCCTTTTTTGAGTATGAGAGACATAAAAAATGAAGTATACTTCGCTCAAAAGCAACAGTCTCCATTATAAGGAGCAAAACGGCAGTGACCATCTGTAAGGATGTCAGCCTAGAGATTTGAGCACTGACCCCAAGGATGAACAAGGTGAGCCTTGACCTTAAAATTCCATGAATCTGAAAGGCTCACAGAATAAAGATGTGAATCACAACCTTTCAGAGCTGGAGAAACACGTGGGAAGCCATCTACTCACTTCAGTGTACACTTAGGACTGGCTTAAAATCTACACGTCCAGGACCTCACTGGTGGTCCGGTGGTCCAGACTCTGTGCTTCCACTGCCGAGGGCCGTGGGTTCAATCCCTGGTCAGGAAACTAAGATCCCACATGCTGCTCAGGGTGGCCAAAACATTTTTTTTTTTAAAGTTAAAAAAAATTTAAAACATGAATGGCTCCAGATCTTCCACTGTGAAGAATCTCTGTGTAACATCCACACTTCAGTGAGGATGCACCATGAAAGAGAAGACCCAGTCAGGCAGAAATGGAGTGGATTCCTGGGCCACAGCACATGCTGCCCATAAAGACGACATACGTAAGGAAGCCAAGAGCACTTGCAAGGAAGGCAGACACCAAAGAAAGATGCTTTAAGACTTGGCTCGTCTTCCCATAGGTTAAACTCCCTTCCAGATGGGACTGTCTGCCTTGGATGCGTGCTGGTGAGCGCACAACTGAACTGAACCCATCAGGAAGCTCTCTCTTTCTCTGCCATCTGATTCTCTTCCTCACTTCCTCTGCCGGCCCTTCTCTCTCCCATCCATGACCTTGGCCAACACCAAGGAATTCAAGGTGACTATGAATTCACACCCATAGCCCACCACAAAAAATGGATGTAACAAGCAAAATGAGAACAGAGTCGAGTTTCTGCTGGTCCTGTCCTGAAGGTAAAAATTTGGGTAATGTTTTTACATAGCAAACATGTGTCACACTTTTTCCAAAGTGGGGCTGAAAATGGGAAATTGTTTTCCAAGTGTATTCAGGCCAATAATGAATGAGAACTGGTTATCCATTTATAAGCTGTTTATGCAAACAAAACTGCCTAGATTTGGAAAGCCTTGCCAGACAACAGTTTTGGAGGCCTAAGTGAATGTCAAGAGAGTGACCTTTAAAACAAGAAGGTTCTTAACAGCAAGTTTAAATGCTGCATTGAGACTTAAAGGATCAACTGATAATGCATGTGTTATGTCCACTAGTTGAGTTACCAAGAGTTGACTAAATTAACAGAGAAACTGCTAAGGATGTGAAAGGCCCTCCTTGGAACGTCTTATCGTTCCAAGGCAAGAGTCAGGAAATGGCCAAGGGCCAGGAAACCACAGTGATGGTGGAAAGGTATAAGCTCGAAGCTTCCAGAATTTTCGAAACTGTGGTAGAACTTAGTAATAAAATGTATCTTATAACTACAAAGGCAGTATGAAAAGATGGCATGTCCTTAATTCCTAAAGGACCCTAGGCATAACCTTGAGCAAGACAGCCTCTAAAAGGGAGGTACTGGGACTTCTCTGCTGGTCCAGTGGCTAAGACTCGGTGCTACCAACGCAGGGGGCTGAATCTGATCCCTGGTCAGAGAACTAAATCCCACAGGCCCACACTAGGACCCAGGGCAGCCAAACACATATTTTTTTATAAAGGGAGGTACTGCTGTAGTACAGCTCGTTAAATTTCAAAATAAAAGCTACCCAAGAGCACTGAGGCAAACAACGTGCGTGTCACGGTGTTCAAAAAAAGTCCATCTGCTTTTCAGGGGATAGATTCTAATTTAAAGATACTGGGGACCTGAGAAAACTGATCAGAAGCTATTTTCCTGCAGTTGCATTTTCTGTAGAAAGGAGTAGTCAAGAGAAAAAAAATTAGCAACATAGGTACTGCTCTTATACATATATATCAACATGTGTGGACTCAGGCTGGGAAATCGGTACTTTCTCACTTTCAAGGTAAGAAAAAAGTTACAACTGCACATATATCAATTGAGTTTTCAATAGTAATAAGATCTCTTTTTAGAAGTATTTTCGGAAGAACATTTCCGACCAAATTTGTAGAATAAGCAGTCTTACAAATCAACTGCTTGCATTTGAATTGGTGGTAAATTGTTTTTGCCGTGTGTCATCAGCATTGGGTCCAAATTCATAAATGCAAAGGCAGTTTCGGCTTTCCTAGAGTACAGGTATCTCAAATGATACGTTCGTGCCTCTAGAGCAAGCCCTTCCATTTTCGTTTTTAGCTGCAGATTTACCTTCCAGGAAAAAACTGAATAGTTTCTTCCTGTTCTGTTCACTTCATCAAAGTCCAATAAAGGAATTAAATGAAGCGACAGTATTATATACTGTTACCTAGATCTTGACCTAGTAATGGATTTGATATCCTTCTTGTCGTCATCTAATTTCTTGTCCTCGGAAGATTTCGTGTCTTGCAGGTTTTCATCACCCTCGTCGTCGGATTTGATCTCAGAGCTGCCGGAGGAGACACTCTGGCCCTGCAAGCCTGGTGGCATGCCTGCAGACAAACGAAAGAGACAGGTGACACCAGAGCCTTGTGGCGCAGACACGCACCCTGGCTGGAGGGCTGCCGGCTATATGTTTCAGACCGCCCAACTAACTGTGTGATCTGTCACTTTTCTCCTCATCTTTGGTGAAGTTTCAAAAATGCACCTGCAGAAACAAGTTATCCCTGCATTGGCTCTGAGGTTAAATTCTATTTTGCAATCTTTTGGAGTAGATGGTAATTTCACTGTCTACAAAACATCAACTTAATTGCAATGAAAATCATAATCATGAAAATCACACACCTCAATGTTCTGATTAAGAACCCAAGTAAATATCAGCTATTATATTGAGTTTCTTCCATATGCAATGATTTAATAGAAAAATGTCCTTAAAATATAATTCCCAGGGAGTACACTAAATATGTACAGTCAAGACTTCAATAGATACCCTAATGATATTCTGAAATTAGGCTTCTCTTATCCTCGAGGAGTAATCAGTGTTTAAAAATGGTACACATGGAAAGCAGCTCAATGAAGACATTTCTAGCTCTTCCACTGCTCAACTTTCCAAGATCACAATATATTTTAAAACGTGGCCCAAAGGCAATCATTTATTTCTAAGGTAGAAGTGTGTCTATTCAGTATTTCCTTCCATCTGTAATCTATGAGGTCCAGAATCTTGTCCCTCAAAATCTGATCAGGGGACCAGGAGTATGCTTATCCCCTGGAAGCCCATTAGAAATGCAGAATCCCAGACTAACTGAATCAGAATCAGCATTTTAACAACAAACATCCTCAGGTCATGCTTGTACACAATAAGAAGGGCTGACCTAAGACAAAGAAAACCCAAAGACTCTTTAAAAGAAACGGCCATCAAAGTCTGACTATTCAGATAAAAATGGGCAGGCATACCCACAATATAGTTAACACTCAGATTCTTACAATGCTTAGTACTTGGACAAAAATGCTTACACATATTCATTCTTGTGGCACCGTTAGCATGTTTTATTCTCAATGTGAGGGCAATGAGGTGTTAAATAAGCATCTCTTGGTCACCGGGCCAGCCAGCTGCAGAGGGACCTGGGACCCAGGTCTTGCTCCTGTGGCCCAGCCACCTGGGGTCTTGGAAAGCCGAAAGGAGTCAGGGGTACGGGGCGGTCAGGACGGGGCCAGATGACTCATCCGACCAAGTCCCATTTTTGAAATGTACCTACATTTCCTTCCATCTTAAGCAACAAAAACCCATTTCCTTCCTTCCTCTTCATTTGGAAACATCACTGTCAGGCTACGACTAACCACATTAAAGGATCTGGATGAGCGCAATGTGGAAATAGCTAAAATCACATTTCCTCTCATCAGTATCTGGTCTTATCCCCTGCTGCAAGCAGGAGCAGGGTTTCAGGGGACGCTGGAGAAAAACAGTTACCGAAGGAACACAATTAGCCGTCGACGTTCGAAAGCCTTTCCCATTTCCTTACCATCTTGGTACCAAAATGGCTTCGTGGTTATGGGCCAGTGCTTCCCGAGGGATGAATGCCAAGGAGGCAGTGCTGGCACACGGGGTCTGCGTTTCAGGGAGACGGGCGGACCTACCTCTGTAAGGGTCCTGGGGTGGGTTCAGATCAGGGGAGGTGGCCGACTGGACAGGCAGCTGTGGCACCGGAACCTGGTTCGGGACGAGAGAGTGGCTGCCTCGCAGGGCCACGCCGTCCTCGCGATGGGCCCCGACCTGCAAGGGCGAGAGGGACCGCGGCGGTGAGCGGGCGTCAGAAGTGCGGCGCAAGGATCCGAGGAGGGAGGCCAGCCTTTGAAAAGCCAAGGCTCCCCAGCGCGTTTCACTAGAGGGCGCTGCAGGACCACACGTGCAGCCACAGTCCAGGGCGGAAAACCAAACATTGAACGTCAGTGAGCCGCCGTGGTGCACATCCAGTGACAAGTATGGCAGAGGGGCTCAGGCAGGTAGAACGTCAAATTGTCTCCCAGGGTGCTGCGGTGGAGCGTGCTGATTCGTACCCATCTGCCTTCTATCATGTCCGCCAACAGATCTGACAATTATCTTAATGCCCATATGCTTAATTGTGGGCTTCTCAATTCCCCCATTGCTATCGGAAATCCTACAGGAATTTCAATTTGGCATTCGACTTTCATTTCAGGGGATAAGATTCTCAGGCCTGCCATGTTTTTTTTTTTTTCCATAATGCCAGCTAAGCTTCTGACAGCGGAAGCTACAGCAGTATGGGACCTAGCTCCTGCTCGGTACAAATATAATAAAATGTCACCTGGCTTTCCAAAACTGGCAGCCCATTCCAAATTAATGTTTACTGTATTTCATCAGCTGCTGAGTTCCAAATCCAAAGGGGGACCGTTTCTGCCAATGCCACCATACCGGAAAATGTACCAATAAAGGTTTTATTAAACACACCAGTAATGCCATCATTGCCATGCAAAGATGTTTGGACATTTTTCCTTTTTTTTTTTTTTTGACTATTCTGATCCTAGATAGACAACATATTGTAAACACTCTCGATGCCTCCAAGAATAAAATTATAGAGTACAGCATGATGACTTGGTCTGAAAAAAAAAAAAATACTGCTGAGTTTTTTTATTAACTACTACTACCTACTCTGGGGTCCAGAGGTGTTGAACCTATGGCACTGAGACAGCAATAGCTGACTTTTATAGTGAACTCCTTCAAGTAAGACCATTGAGCATTTGGAAACCAAGAGGAACATGAGTAAAGTTTCACTGGCATTTCCAAGTAGTTATTTGTTAGTGTATTGTTAGGTGAACACTGACGCAGGACAGTGGGTCTAACACTAAAAAGTATCTCTCCATGAATTTATACTGCTATGAATCAAAAAGTGTACATTTTCTCCCAATCAGAAATAGAAAACCACAAAGCAAAATCTTCACTCTTTTGCTACCCAGTGTTCTAAAAGAGTATTTCTGCAAAGTGCAACAATAAGAATCTGAACTGCAACAATAAAATGCACAGAACCAAAGGAAGCATGTGCTACCTCAAGACAGCCTAGTATGAAGTGTCACCTTTACATACTCCAAAGCAATGCAGAAGATGATAATACAGGGGGAAGGGGGAGCACCATATAAATCATACTAACTGCTGAGATTCAAAATGCAGCAAGAATAAAACTATCATACAGAGAATGGATAAACAACAAGGTCCTATTGTATAGCACAGGGAAACACATTCAATGTCCTGTGATAAAACATAATGGAAAAGAATATGAAAAAGAATGTATGTACATATGTATACACTGGACAGCAGAAATTAACACAATACTGTAAGCCAACTCCACGTTTTTTATAATTTTTTAAAAGTAATTTTAAAATGATTAAAAAAAAAAAGTTAAAATACTACAAGAAAAGCAAAGGATTTAAGGACTCAGGAGCACCTGGAAGTTTAAATGAATGTTGCAGCTGAGAGATCTGGGAGTCCAGGGCTGTCTGTCCCTTCCCAGAACAGTCTGGAAGGTGGTTAGTTCCTATTGATATGTAGGCGCTTCAGATACATTAAGAACCTGATTATCTTCCAAAACAGCTTCTCCATCTCCACCACAAGTTGGCCTCCTTGGACACTGCACCCACTGGTCCTGGATTTAACTTCCAGAGTTCCATGGAATAAGTGTCAGCCCTTTTCACTATTTAACACTAGCCATGCCTCTCCTGACTTGCATCTGTAACTGAAGCCTGATCTCTTACGGGCAGACCATGCCCACTCAGTTCCCTGCAACCGTTTCTCATTCTTTGTGTATGTTTTCATTTCCCTTTCATACCAAAGAGTGATAGCTTTTTTCCATTTTTATATTTGTGCAATTAGAAGACTGATTCAATCAATGACTATCCTTTCATTCTAAGATGTCAACTTGCAAGTATGAATTTTACAGGCCCTGATCAAATGGTAGCTCTTTTAAGACTGTTAATCAGTATAACCTAAAGAATTATCCAACTGCTGATTTATAGTTACTGGCCTTCCCAGTGGATTACATTTCTTTCCACAAAGAATGAGTCTAAGTTGGAATCACTGAAGGTAACCACCAATCTGAGCATGGCGGAAATTCCCATACCCTCCTAATATTTTAGAATCATTCTGTTAAAACCCTCAGGCCTTCTTTGTGGGCAAGTGAGATGCAATTCAAGGTTAAGACATTGCTTTTCAATTAAAACATATTGAGTTATTAATCCTGAACAAATTTTTTTTCCCTTCTAGGTCATGTTTAGTTTTTAAAAGAACCCACACCCTTTAAACCCACACACCTTTAAAAGAACCTTTCTATTTTCTCTGCCTCAACTAATATGATAGACAGCATAACTAAGTGAAAATTAACACAATATGAGAGTTAAAAATATGTAGATTCTAACTGTAACTGGTTTCTTTACTTGTTAAATAATCTTGGGTAAGTTACTCAAACCCAAAATGGAGAACATAACATTGGAAGTGACAGTGGATAAATCTCAGGTTTACTGCAAGGAGTAGTAGTATGCAAGACAGTTGGTACACCAAGGTACACAATAATTATTGACACCGTTAGGTGTTTTAGCTGAAAATACTTGCCTCCTACATATAAATAAGAGTCTACACAGTTTAAGAAACCTGAGAAGTCAAGCTACTTTCACTTATGATCCTCTTTGCACTCTGTCTCTATGTTGTTCATATCCATTTGGTTTTAAATCTTTCTCTTGCAGAATGACAGAAAAATCTTAAATGATCTATAAATATGTTTGAGAAGGTGGTTGTTCTGACTAGATTTTGGCTTTTATCCACGGAGGTTACCTAACTAATTTTCTAAAGATCACCTTAGAGCCCTGAAATAATACATTCTTTTTCATAAAGGAAGTTGAAAACATTATCTGTGATATTAGAAGGTCTCTCTTGTAAACTGTGCATATTTCAGGAACAAATGGATCAACAATGATAGGTCTAGATCCATGGATCCATCTAATTAGCTTGACTCTCCAGGATCCATTCCATCACCCGTGTCTATGGAATAATATTCCAATTTGAAGAATTAGCTTTGCTCTGCTTGCTTCCTTGGCCACAGAGAGCACTTCCTAACCCCATTTACTTCTCTCTCAGAAACATTATTTCTGGTCACATGAGAGATGAGGAAAAAAAACCACAGTGAATGGCCAGCACAAACCCATCAACAGAGTAACTCAGAAATAGATGGAAAAACCAATACTGCCATCTGTATATATGAGAGTCAGGATTTGCCCACTTACAAATATATAATAATGTAACTAGAAAAAAAGCAGATTCCTTTAACCTACAAATCAATTCTAAGGATGGCACCCAGAAAATCCATATTTCATTAAAGTCCTATTTTGAGAATGTTTCATCTAGATAAGCAATGAAGTTAAAAGGCAGCCCATGAAAACAGCTTTATCAATACTGATAGTAAATTATTTTTGCAGTCTTTAACAACAGAGTCTTCTTACAGTCACATACAATATGGTTTTAGATATATCTATGCTAAAAGCAGAAGACAGAACTAAACTATAAACATTATTCAGTAACTGGTAATTGATTGATCAGAGAGTACCTTTATTAATTCAGCAAATATATCCTAATCTAGCTGGTGCTGGCCATTCTGCAAGGTGCTGGGGGCGGTGGCGAATAACTTAGATGCGGGCCCTGGCCCGTGTGGGGCTTTACAGCAATCCTTGGTGGGATTTTCATGGCGTGATCCATTTACCACAGTGATTTTAGCAGCAAGGACCAGAAATTCCTTCTACCTTGCTCAGGTAAAAGATTTAGCAGGAAGATTTCTTTTTGTTTTTAATTTCATTTATTAGAGGATAATTGTTTTACGATGCTATGGTGGTCTCTGCCACACATCGACACGAATCGGTCGTCATTATATACATGTCCCCTCCCTCCTGGCCTCCCCGGCTGCCTTCATCCCTCTAGGTCATCCCACAGCACCTGGCTGGGCTCCCTGCTATATCCCCGCTCGTTACCCATTTCACATGGCAGTGTGCACATGGAATGCTACTTTCTCAAGTTGTCCTACCCTCTCCTTCCCCCGCAGGGTCCACGAGACTGTTCTCTATGTCTGTCTCTCCATTTCTTCCCTGTAAATAGGTTCAGCAGTACTATTTTTCTAGATTCCATATACGTATTTGTTAATATAGTATATTTGGTTTTCACTTTCTGACTGGTGTCACTCTGTATAACAAGGTCTAGGTTCATCCTCTTCATTAGAACTGACTCAAATTTGTCCCTTAGGAATAAAACTACCATATGACCCAGCAATCCCACTACTGGGCACATACCCTGAGAAAAATCACACTTCTCAAAGACACGTGCACCCCAGTGTTCATTGGAGCACTGTTTACAACAGCCAGGACATGGAAGCAACCTAGATGTCCAATGACAGATGGATGGAAATGGATAAAGAAGTTGTGGTACATATGTACAGTGGAATATTACTCAGCCACAAACAGGAAGCTTGTGGTGACTGAAGTTTAGGGCTTGGAGAACTCCTGGGACCTAAGGCCATCTCTTGCCCCCCAGGGGCCATGCCAGCTTCTCTCCCACTTCTGCTGGAACCTCTCTCTCTCTGGCCTCTGGCCACTCAGGACTGCACCCTGTACTCGTCTTCCACAGGAGATTCCACCACATCCAGGTTCTGAACCCACCCCTGACTCCCTCTTTGTTTCAGTATTTCTGAGTTCAGAATGCTGAGATCATCTGAGGGCCTGGCTCAC